CGCCATCTTGGCTCCGCCCCCTGGTTCTGTTTCATAAGGATTGGTCATGCAGTTTATCAATGCACTGATTATTTACCAAAGGAAATGGGCTCTTTAAGGAACTGGTATTATATTACATACATAACAGGATCTTTCTTTGTCAATATTCTGGGTGCATTCACCAATATTCAGTAATATTTAGAAGACAGCAATTTTGTGGTATTGTTTTGTGATCCCTACATATACAGAATTATTCGGATAACTTAACTGATTAGAAACTGTGCAAAGTGCAAGAAAAATATTTTCATTGCACTATAATTATTTCTTACAACAAATATACCATGAAGCTATCATTAACACATTTGAATAATGAAGTTCAGAAATGAAAGTACTTTGTTCAAGGGCAACAAACCAGTCAGAGGTAAAGTTTAGAAGGAAAACTAGCACTCTCAGTCTGCAAACTTGGGAATTTTTCATTCTGCCATAATCTTTCCATAAGCTTACCTTTGTGTGTCTTTTTGGATGTTGCAAGTTTTAAGAAAATCAAAGCCCAAAACTCCTGTCACTGTTGAATTACTCAAATAAACCTAAGTTAGGTATACCTATCCTAGTGACCTAAGGTCATCGTTCTATGGCCCCAAACCCAAACAGTGTCTTTCCGCATCTCTCTCTTTCAGATTTATTCATTTCTTTGGAAAGCAGAGTTACAGAGATAGAGACATTGAGACACAGAAAGAGAGATCTTCCATTCGTTGTTTTACTTCCCAAATGGCTGCAAAGACCAGAGCTGGACCAGGCCAAAGCCAGGAGTCAGGAGCTTCCTTCAGGTCTCCCATGTGAGTGCAGGGGCCCAAATTATTGGGCCATCCTCTGCTGCTTTCCCAAGCACATATGCAGGGAGCTGGATCAGAAGCAGAGCAGCTGGGAGTTGAACTGGTGCCCCTATGGGACATTGGTGCTGCAGGCTGTGGCTTAACCCTCTGTTTCACAGTGCCAGCCCTCCCTCAGTCTCTTTTTAAACATTTGTGATTTCTGTAGAAGGAAATATCTTTCAGACAATGTGATCAATGTGCTATCAATGAACAGAAATATCTAGTTTAGGAAACCAGTTGGTATGACCACAGCTTTCTCATTTTCCACCATTTCTTGTTTTGGAATTCTCAGTGTATCAAATTATAAACATGAACATTTCCTTGCCTGTAAACATACAACAGATGTTTCCTATGTGGAAACTTGAAGGAGTAAAAACATTCTAGTCCTACACTATTATTATTTAATAATAAACATGTCTTAGGACACATGTTGATGTCACAGCACAGGTAATCTCAAAACAGAGGCGTGACACCATTGAAGTAGAAGAGCAGGACCAAGAACAGCTTTTTGTTTTTTAAAATATTGCATCGTTTTAATATTTTCAAATTTAGAATATTTGTTGCCATTCCCAACTACAAATTCTATTGTTAATATTGACAGTAAAAAACAAAATGTGATGATGAGAAAAGCAAAATGCCAAGAGATACAATGGAGACCACAATATTATTTAAAGAGAATATGGGGGGGGTGCTGGCATTGTGGTGCAGTAGGTTAATTCTCTGCCTGCAGTGCCAGCATTCCAGGTAGGCACCAGTTCTAGTCCAGGCTGCTGCTCTTCCAATCCAGGTCTCTGCTGTGGCATGGGAGAGCAGTGGAAGATAGCCCAAGTCCTTGGGCCCCTGCACCCACGTGGGAGACCAGGAAGAAGTTCCTGGCTCCTGGCTTCTGATCGGCGCAGCTCTGGCCGTTGCGGCCATTTGGGGAGTGAACCAGCGGAAGGAAGACCTTTCTGTCTCTCCCTCTCACTGTCTGTAACTCTGGACTCTCAAATAAATAAATAAAATCTTAAAAAAAAAAGATTATAGGGGATTGACACTGTGGCGTAGCAGGTAAAGCCGCCGGACGCAGTGCCGGCATCCCTTACAGGCACCGGTTCAAGTCGCTGCTGCCCCATTTCTGATCCAGCTCTCTGCTATGGCCTGGGAAAGCAGTGAAAGATGGCTCAAGTCCTCGGGCCCCTTCCCCGTTGTGGAAGACCTGGAAGATGCTCCTGGCTCCTAGCTTCAGATCAGTGTAGCTCCAATCTTTGCGGCTAACTGGGGAGTGAACCACTGGATGGATAATCTCTCTCTTTTTCTCTCCCTCTGCCTCTCTGTAATTCTACCTTTCAAATGAATAAATAAATCTTTAAATTAGAAGAAAAATAAGACAGAGAGAGAGAAAATACGGTTCACAGCTGGAATTTTTGAATGGTTGCTGGGAAATCTACAGCATCATAAAACCCTCAAAGTCCTCTAAAATATTAAACAAATGTTTCAAAATCTAAAAATGTTCATTACTGGGGGCTGGTGCTGTGGCATAGTAGGCTAAGCCTCAGCCTGTGGTACTGGTATCCTTTATGGGCACTGGTTCATGTCCTGACTGCTCCACTTCCTATCCACCTCTCTGCTATGGCCTAGGAAAGCAGTAAAAGATGGCCCAAGTGCTTAAGTACCCTGAACTGACGTGGGAGACTGGAAGAGGCTCCTGGTTCCTGGCTTCAGATTGGCCCAGCTCTGCCAGCTGCGGCCAGTTGGGGAGTGAACTAGCAAGTGGAAGACCTCTCTCTAGTCTCTCCCTCTGTCTGGAATTCTACCTCGCAAATAAATAAATAATCTTTTAAAAATGCTAATTATTGTATTTTTGATGACTAGCGATGAATCAAGCAGCATGACTAGTTTATGGACTCTACGGCATTTTTCTGACATTTCATTAAGAGGAACTGCTCAGCCCCCGATAATCTGAAATCATCTTGAACCTCCAGGAGCAATGCTGCTTGTTTACTTCTTCCCTTAAACTAATGCAGAAATACTTTTTTTCTGGAAATAAGTATACTCAAAGAAACTAGAATTTGGGAGATTTGGCATGGCTTTAGAGAATAGTTATGATTTCACTTTGGCAAGTATCATTTTGTTAAGTTCTCCCTGAAATAGCAAGACTAATTTTTGTAAAGCTCTTTTTATAATGACAAGCTTGGATAAAGAAAAAAAGCATAAAAAACTTGAGTCCTACTAAAATACTATACAACATTTAAAATATTACCTTTTAATCACTTTGAAACCATAGCCTCTTGTCCTCAGATTCAAATGGAAAATATATCTTCCAATTTGTTTCAATGTAGGAAACTGATTTGGATAGTACATATATTTGTAAAAGTTAAAAAGATTTTTTAGTAGCTTCTCTCACTAATTATAACTTTTAGAAAGCCAGTAATGACTAGATTAGGGACTTGCTAACATCGGTATGGTAATTAGAATTCCTTGATCATTACTCAATAACCGTTTATAAAACATTATTTTTGTTATATTTCTGGGTTCTTAATAAGTTAGGAAACTTACTGACAGGTGTGGGAAGGAGTTGTTACCAACTGTGAAAGATCACATTGCCTTTGTGGGCACATGCTCGTACTAGCACTATTACTGGGCATCTAGATTTAAGCTGTAGGAAAGTAGAGATGATAGAACAAAGAATTTTAAGTAATTGTAGGCCCTAAAACAGGACAAATGTGGTCTAAGATCTGCAATGGCAAAATAAATATATTTGATATGTGTATATATATATTTGTGGGTGATACTTATATGTAGAGGAAAGTACGCAAATTTAAGGTGGAGAGCTGTCAGTTTTCAGAGTGTACGCACCAACAAGGAGCAACACCCTCATGCCCCCAGTGCCTCTGTGTCCCCTTCCAATTGGCACAGCCTTTTTCCTCCTTAGGAGACCCCATTCTGCCCTCCACAGCCATTGGCTAGTTTGCGTGGCTGGGATCTTTATATAAATGAAATGATGTAGCAAATGCTCTTCAGCAACTGGGTATTTCTGGCCCACGCTTGTGTCATAGTTTCAGCTATAGAAAAAAATACATCTTCTAAAAAAAACTCCTAGAACAATAAAGATGAAATATAGATTTTAAGAACTTTATATTCTGGAATTATCTGTATAGTCAGTCTCTCCCCATACCCCCTTCTCTTTCTTTCATTAAGAAACAAAAATAATTTTCATGCAAATTAATAAATAGTAGCAAATACATCCACACCTGCACCATATTTGGATCAATTATGATTTACAAGCTTTAAATACATCAAGTGATTTAATTTTCAACAATTATCTAAAGAAGAATCAATTTTTGTATTTCTGATTTACACATGAGATGAGTGAGTTCCAAGAAAGTTTTATGTCTTAATAATAGGCATCCAGGAAGAATATAACTACATTTCTATAAAAAACGTTAAGAATGGACAAACCAAGATATCGTTTAGAATTGATGAACATATCAGCAAATTGGAGAAGTTTATCTGAAGAAATTGTCTGGATTGTAGAACAGAGAAACAAAAACCAGGAAATATTAAAATATACATTTAGAATATGGTGAATAGGAAGAGAAAATCTGTCATGAATCAAATGCTCAGGAGAAGAGAACAAAGACACTGGAATATGTGCTATGTTTGAGTAGAGAATATCTGAAAATTTTTCAAAATTTATTAGACACATCAATTTACAGAGAGAGGCAAAGGTAAGCCAACAAGTCTAAGCAGAAATAAACCCACTTTGAGGCACATGTTAGTGATACTGCATGACACCACAGAAGATAAGCCACCTCAAAAACAGTAATAGTAAAAATCAAGAACAATTACATGCACTAATAGTAGACTTGGACAGGAAAATGACTGATCATTTGCTTGTCATGTCTAGTCTTTCATCAATGTTATTGTAAAAATGAAACACAAGAACTTCATCTTGTTTAACATGTACTGGTAGCATTTATCTGTATTTACATGGGAAAAATACCGAAAAAGGATTAAGAGATAGAAAAAGTCACATATACAAGCTTAGTATTTTATACAAGAATTTCAAAATAAGATGATTTCATAGTCACCAGTATATTTTACTAATGCAAGTTAACAATGAAATGGCTTGATCAAAACTAACCACAGCCTTCATTTATTCTTTAGAATCTCACACAGGATTTTTAGTCACCCCATTCCCGATGGCTTTGAAGATTTCCTCGGAGACAGTTGATGGAGTCAAAGAAAATTAAGTACAAAGGTTAGCCAAATGATGCAGGGAGGCATGCTGCCACACAAGATCAACAAAATGAGTTCTGCATCTATGGTTTTAGCCTGTCTCTACTGTTACTTCAGTCAATAACATTATTAGTAACATCAACTACATTACTTACAGCACTGTAGAATGAACTATTATTATTAAATTTCAGGTTATATAAATTGCAAAACCAACCTAATGGAAGCCACCATATTTGTCTGTTCTGCTTCAATAAACACAGAAAAAAGATAAAGCTGCTGCAGGTGAGGATATGAGAATTCCTCTTTCTTTCCATCCTACCATGGTTCATAGTTCTACTTCAATATTGTACTTTCTATTTCCCCCAATTTATCTCTGGTTTAAGTGAGGAGAGAATATGTAGGGGTTTGTATCTTTCAGCCATTGTGATTCTACTGTGTGTGTGAAACTCTTCTTGGCTTCAATGGCAGCTCCATGTTGGTAATGGCCAAATGAGGAGGCCCTAAATGGACAATTATTGATATTCTTTGACTTCCCAGAAGCCACACTCCCTCTACCACAGCAACGTAAAGCATCAATGATAGAGAATTAGGTCAATCAGTGTATAGAATTATTTTCTAATTTTAGTATAAATGGCTCTAAGTAGCGGGCATAAATTGGGTATTTTATTGAGAATGTGAAATCTAACTCCAATATTCTTCTGTTATGTGCAATACTTCAAGGTGACTTAATTGGCTCTGCTGTGAGCACCCTTGACTATTCTAGTAAAAATCCTCAGGGCTGCCCATGGAGACAAGGAGCATAGAGAAAGGACCCAGGGCAAAGAGAGGGAAAGAGGCTCACTGTCTTCCCTACGCAAATAATAGAAACATTCTATTTGCTCTAAGAGAAAAACTTTGATTATACTTCTTCACAAACAAAAGGCAGCACTTAAAATTGAACTCCCTGCCCCTCAAAAAAGACAGTGTTGGAAAAATTTATCTAGATAAAGAAAGAAAAGATATTTTTTGCCACTGGGGTCAGTTAACAGAAAATGACTCAAAATGTAGCTCCTAAAAAAAATAGAATAAGGGCTTCTCAGCTCTTACTGAAGAAAAGGTAGGAAATAGGAAACAGGCTACTAAGAAAAAATGTCTTCAGAAGTTGTTGAGGAGGCAACTGGCAAAATGCTTATTTTCCTCTCGTTTCAGGACAACAAATCAGAGGATCAAGGCCATGCCAACAGATTTCAATAACTTGAGTTTATTTACATATTAAACACAAGTTAGAATTTTGTCTTTGGTCTTTGAATATCCTGCATTGTACACTGCTAACACATCTCCAGTTTTGAGGTTTTACTTGGTGTACTCTAGAAGAAAACAAGTCTTTTCTATTCACAGAAGAACTCATTAGATCCTGTGGGAAAGATCTGAGGACTTTGTTAAATAGCAAATAATCTTTAAATAACAATCCTCTCACAACTCAACAGTAAACAGCCATTTTAGTGATTTCTCAGGTAAACACAAATTAATATGCTGTACCAACTTTTTTGTAAATATCATTATTTTCTCTGAAAACAAAACAAAAAGAAATTATTCATCATTTTGTACACAGACTTAAAATTTAATTTCCCATTTATAGTAGAATTCAATAGATCATGCTTCTACAACTCATTCTGCTTCAGGGCTCACATCTTAAAATTAACACCCTTAAGGATGTTATCAATTACTGTTTATGGGAAATTTACTATGTGCCAAGTGTTCTGCTATCCCATTCATTATGTAAAAGTTATCACAACAGCCCATAGAATTGACTCTTATTTCCCCTAAACTTTCAGACAAGGAGAGGAGAGTGGATCTGAAAGAAGTTCAGAATTAAGTTGAACTTAAATTTGAATACAGTCAATCTGATTTCTGAGTCATAACTTCCAAAAAGCAATTATTTTTCAAGAAATAACAAAGAATCAATGCTAAAAAATAGGAAATTCTTTATTATGTTTATCTAGGAAGAATTAACAATATGGTTGATGAATGAGATTGAAAGCATCTCAAATTATATAAAATTCAAATGTTAAGTTAGATTTACAATATCCCACAAATATTGAAAAAGCAAGTACACTGCAGATAATTATAAAAACACATTTTAAAAATTAAATTTTAAGCTGATGTATTGAGTAGCATGGAAATTTGGTGTGGTGATGCCCATAAATCTGAGTCAGTTTCATAAGAAATTTCCTGTGTGAAATTCTTTTATTTTAATTATATAACTACTCAGAAAATTTTATGGACTATGTTCTTAAAGATTTATTATACAATTTTGGACAGGGACCAGCGTGGCAGTACAGTAGATGAAGCCACTGCTTGTGACATGGGCAACCCATATCAGTGTGCCAGTCCAAGTCCCAGCTGCTTGGCTTCTGATTCAGCTTCCTGCTAATTTGCCTGTGAAAGCAGATTTTGGCCCAATTACCTGGGCCCTTACCACCCTCATGGGAGATTGGGATGGAGTTCCTGTCCCCTGAATTTGGCCAGACCCAGTTCTGGTTATTGGCACCATGTAGGAAATGAATTTGTGGAAGAAAGGTAACTCTCTCTCTCTGTCTCTCTCTCTCTCTCTGTCTCCCCCTGCTTCTGTCACTGTGCCTTCAAATAAGTAAATAAATGAATCATGGAAAAGAAGCCTGCAAAGCTGAATTATTTCATGATACAATTAACACAAATGCAATATAAATTAACAAATATGTAAGGACTATTGTATGTCATTAAGTAGATTACTTTCAGATTAATTCAAACTGTAATTTACTGTATCAAAGGTAAAGATATAATCATAATAACTGTAAAAGTATCATCGAGGAAGTTCTACACACCAAAAGTGGAAGAAGCAGTAATGAGGGTGGATTTCACGTTGACTGAATTCAGAAGGGCTCCTAGAACACATGACATTTGATTGAATTTTAAGGAGTAGAATTCCAATAAACAAGAGTGAAATGGAAGGAATATTATATTAGACTTAGGACATAAGGTTCTAACTGAACGAGAATGTAGATGCAAGTATACATGACTTGGTAACTGAGGGGTTATCCTCTGTCTTGTTATCTAAGTTCACAGAATGATTTACAAATTGGGGAGGGGTCTTTAGTGGGGAAGGAGAATATAAAGTGGACAATGATGATCAAAGCATAGGCAAACATGTGTAACAAATTGATATACGTCTGACTGAACCAAACCATTAAGGAATATAAAGGTATTCACACAACAGATTGATAATAGAGGAAGAAAACTAGCACTAGAAAGCAGATACAAGAGGGTCTGAAAAATGGAGATAACAGTAGAACTCAGCACTGCAGGGATATGGGGTCTCAGACTCATCTGAATCTGTCTAGCCTTACGCATTGGATACTTTGGCCTGTGCAGAGTCATATACTAAACTGTGCTGCTAATAGTGGACTAGAATTCTACCATGAAACCCTCTAGCTGACACAGACTCTGACTTCTCAAGATTCCATTGACTGGGTATAGCTGTTACAACCAGGATGAATTGACAGTTGAAAACCAAGTAACATAAAGATACTAGGTGATTCCGTAATACTATTCTCAAAGACATACATAGATAACCTTCACTGCTATGACATATTCACATCATGAAAAAAAAAACTTTTAAAAGAGAAGAAATAATTTTGAAAATAGTTAGTGGTTGCCTTGAATAGAGGAGATCATAAAGCAGAGAGAGCATATGGCAAGGGAGAGTGACATGGGCCTCTAAAATGCAGAGAGGGTTCCGTTTCCTAAGCTGAGCAATATGTAAATGGGTGTTTCTTTTATTATCATTATATAATACTACATATTAATATTTGTCCAAGAATGAGTTAATAAGTAGCCAGTTGTATCTTAAAAAATATTGTATATGCTTCTCGATGTTTTTGTCCTACTTTTTGTCCATCAATAACATACACTGAAGATTTCCCAATGTTATTAAAAAACCCCTCAAAAAGTATAATTTTAATGTTTGGAAATATTCATTTTAAAGCTCATGAAATATATATAATTATATATACATTATAGATAGATGGGTAGATAGGTAGATTTGATATTTCCTTAACTGTCATTGCTAAAGTATCAGGTTCATTCTCATTATAAAACCATTGACTGTCTCAGGCTCATAAAAATTGGCATATGATATATATTTAAAAGATTATATTTGCAAGTCTTTCTTAGACTGTTGGATGCACAGTTCACTGTGTTGAAGCAGACATCTGTTGGTAACAAAAATAAAATATTGTTGTCTTGTTTTCGTATTTTTCATACCCAGAGAACCACACTGTAGCTTTGCCTGAGGGAGAACCTTAAGAAAATGTACCAGTGTGACGTGTTTTTCTGACAAGCGGAAAAGAACATGGAAGTAAAGTTATCCACATAAATTAGGACAGACAGCTGGTCAGAGTCTGCCCACTCATCCTGCTAGGGGAGCAACCAAGCAAAGTCAAGAGAGTCTACGTGTTGAACTTTGCTTCCCTCTGGATTTTAAAGGTTGATTTGGAAAAACTGGGAGACAGGGAGGAGGATACTGAGATGAATAAATCCAGAGATAATTTTTGTAACTGGGGAAAAGGATTGTTGAGGTAAATCTCAGGGGATGAAAATGAGATTTAAAGGCATACTTGAGGAAGCTCTTTGTTTTGTTTTGGCTATGCAATTGGGAAAAGAGTTTAAAAAAGGAATTAAAAAGACTTAAAAATGTGAACAGTGAGAAAAAAATAATCATCCATATGGGAGTATCTGTGACATTAGTAAAAGTTTTGAGAACATTTTAAAAAATGATTCCCTTGGTACGCAGTGTTTAAAACAGGAACTGTGGTGCTGGCTCCTGAAACAACACAAAGATATCAAGCCCTACTTTCCTCTGTTTCATAAAGCAAAGTTCTGAACTACCTTGAGAGACCAGAATTGTCGAAAGGTAATTGAATTGCAACTCTGAATGTTAGTTTGAGGGTAGGTCATCTGAATTTTAAACATTTTCACCAAGATATTTCGAGGTAGCTGAGTTCAAGGTATCTATTTCACAGAAAAAGGGTTTCTGAAAGATCCTCCTCTTTCCCCATGCTTTACACCAGGGGAACATCCCCAGCCTCTTTGGATTTAGGTCTACATTTCATGTGTCCTGCGAAGACTTTCTGTATCTTATTCCTTTAAGTCTTAGATTTCCATCTCTCTATGTTGTCATGGCGGGGTGTCTCTCTACTCCATACAGAATGTGAGCTCCTTAAGGACATAAACAAATGCTTCTTGAATTATGATGGTGTTATGTCCCAATAAACCCATCTTCATAGGTGAAAAATACATTTAGTGCACCTAACCTACCTTAGCAAGACAGTACACTGTAAACTACGTTTACTCTTGAGATTATGTGACTGAATGTGAGTTTCAGCTCACTGAAGTTGCCCAGCTTCACAAGGAAATATCATACCAAATATTGCTAGCCCAGAAAGAGAGCCAAGCTCAAAATTCAAGGTGCAGCTTCTGCTGGATTCATATCACCTTCCGACTATCATAAAGCTGAAATTTCTAATTTGAATTATTAAAAATCATGGACTATCTTCACCTTATATATATATATATATTTTAATATTTATTTATTTATTTGAAAAGTAGAGTTATAGAGAGAGATGGGGAGAGACAGAGATCTTCCAATTTGCTGGTTCACTCCCAAATGGCCGCAATGGCCAGAGCTGGGCCAATCCAAAGCCAGGCACTAGGCGCTTCTTCCAGATCTCCCACTCTGATGCAGGGGCCCAAATACTTGGGCCATTCTCCACTGCTTTCTCAGGCCACATGCTACATAAGTCATCAGTTTAAAGGGTACAATCAAACGTGGTACTATATTCAAAGTTCTGCATCCATCACCTCAATCAATTTAAGAACATTTTTGTTACCCCCGCAAAAAAAAAAAAAAAAAAAAAAACTCTACACCTCCTAGCTACCACCCCTACATCTCCTTAGTTTTCTCAATCAACAACTAATCTAATTTCTATGTATCTATATTTGCCAATAGTGTAGTAGCAACTAACATTTCACATTAATGGAATCATACACTATATAGTACTTTACTTGCTGCTTTCATTTACATAATGCTTTCAAGATCTGCCTATTCTGCAATATATGTCAGTACTTCATTTCTTTTCATTGCCAAATTACATCCCATTGTACCTGTATACCACATTCACTTATCCTTTCATCAGCTGATGGCCATTTGGGTTGTTTTCTCTTTGGGGCTGTTATCATTAACGCTGCTGTGAGTATTTGTGTACAGATTATTGTGTAGACATATGTTTTTATTTCTCTTAGGTATTTACCTAGGACTAGATTCCTGGATCAGATGGTAACTCATATGTTTTTCCATCTGAAAACTGACTGATTGTTTTCCTAAGCAGCTGTACTATTTTACATTCCCATCAGCAGTATATCAGGATTTCAGTGTCCCCACATCCTTCGCATACCTTGATATTACATGATCAACTATAATTAAATTGATCTATTTCATATGGCTCATCAAATTTATATGGGTAGAGTTTTATACAGTGTTTTATGAGGACTCTTTTTATTCTTTTCTTTCTGTAGTAATAACCCCTTTCAATCCTGGCATTGCTAATTTATATTTCCTCTTTCCTGTGTCTGATCATCAGGGCCACTGCTGCCACCACTACCTCAGGAGTGAGCCTGCCTTTCATTGACCTCAGAGAGTTAAATGAGTTTCATCCCAAATTCTTACTTCCACTTATCTGTTCTCTGGACTGAGAAAGGGGGCTTTTCTGTTTGTGTTTTGGAGCTCTGTTCTCAGATTCAAGTTGCCCAATAGTCTAAGACAGGAAATATAGAAGATAAATCAGGGAGTACAGAGAACTTAACATTGCATGAGGTCATTCTTCAAGCTCTGATTTCCTTTCCTGTCTGCTATTATTTGTTGCACAGTCCCCCAAGACTCACTTTATGTATTATTTCCAAAGTTTTAGTTGGGATCAGTTGAGAAATCAGAGAGAGAGGATATATTTTAAACAGGGGCTGATGCCGCAAGCTACCCAGTCTCACCTAGGACTCACTGTGTACATAAACTTCCTGACCTAATAAGAAAACCTACTCTTCTACTCATTCTCCCCCAAATACATAGCACTCTAAGGATGATCTTGAAACTCTAAGATCAGAATTATCCTCTCAATTAAAAGATAATTAAATTGTACCCAGCATAATTTGAATTGACTCCAATTACATTGTAATATTACACTGTTTTTTTTTTTTTTTACATTATTTCCAGTGTGGATTTACTTTGTTCCCTTAAATGTAACAATCTATAGGCCCTTGTTTTCATCCTTGCTTCCTCTACGTGGTCTTCTCTGACATATTTTATTAGTCTCTTATACTTTCATTATGCTCTAACCTATTCCTTTTTGTATTATGCATTTTGCTCCTAAATGTACTCCTGCCTTGTATCATAAAGTAATCCCGCTCTTTAATATTTCTCAACCATAGTAAGACACCTAGAAGATTTGAATCATGGTATATTTTTAAGCACTTAGCTAAATGCTATACACACAGTAAGTAAATACCAAATTTTTTACCAAGTAAGTTTTGGCTGGAAAAAAACAAGTAAAGCAAGCTTAATCTTCATTATATTCTGACCTTAAATGAGCAGAGAACAATAACATTGCACACAGGCACTTAAATGCTGAAAAGCTGAAGACAGTTTTATAGCCTCTTTATAGATAAATGTTGGTAGATTAGGAGATAGGAAGGAAAGAACAAACAAAGTGTTGCACTTACTTTCAGGGAATATATTTTTATTATTAATGGAGATTGGGGCTAGTGGATGGGACTGATTAAGCCAAGAAATTATGAATTGATTAACCTTGCATTTCATAATGGTGCATGAGAGGCTGGAGCTGCGGCTCACTTGGCTAATCCTCCGCCTGCAGCGCTGGCACCCCAGGTTCTAGTCCCAGTCGGGGCTCCGGATTCTGTCCTAGTTGCTTCTCTTCCAGTCCAGCTCTCTGCTGTGGCCCGGGAAGGCAGTGGAGGATGGCCCAAGTGCTTGGGCTCTGCACCCGCCTGGGAGACCAGGAGGAAGCACCTGGCTTCTGGCTTTGGATTGGCACAGCTCGCGGGCCATAGCAGCCATTTGGGGGGTGAACCAACAAAAGGAAAACATTTCTCTCTGTCTCTCTCTCCCTCACTGTCTAACTCTGCCTGTCAAAAAAAAAAAATGATGCATGAGAAAAATCTGGTAATATTAAAATTAGGTCTAATAATTATCCACAAATATCAGAGATTAATGGTGTCCTATAGTTATGCAATAGATCTGATAAACAAGTTACTTAAAAATTTAGCTTAAGGGAAGTTTTTCGATTTTCCCATAGTTTATGGAAAATGATTTCTGGATTTAATCATCTCCAGGCAAATAGCATGAAGTATAAGATATTGTGTGCATCTCTGTTCTGTTTTCATTAGGGGTTGCTATCTTACCTCAAGTATATTTATGCTTCTATACAGGAAGAATTATGTTTTATTTACTTTTTATTAATTAGTATTTGGTAGGTGTAATGCTTACTTGCCAATGTTGATCAATACAGCTTTATTAAGGAGACTCACTAAATGTTATTTAATTGTATGCCACTTGGGCTTTATCTTACTGACATAACTTTTCAGCATTTGAAGACTTTATAAACATTATACCTGTACATTTAAAAAATGTTTTAAAATGGTCACTCTCTCATCTCTTCTATGACACAAGATTTACATTACTCAATACCTACACATGGAAAATAGTTTCCTGCTTCTGCCTAAGTAAGATGAAGCTATGTGTAGAAGGTTCTTTCATATCTAATCATGTGTATGCGTTCATTACAGGAGGGACGGGGGTCAGAAGTACAGCCTCCCCCATTCTTCTGTAGAAAATCAATGTTGTTCATTATTGGGCAGAAACCCAGTTGAGGGTTTCCAAAGGGAAAATATTCACAAAATTGAATTTTAAAAAAAGGCTGAAATAAAAGATTATATTAGATTTTTAGATTGCTGTACTCTTTTCAAGTAGGACCAGGATCTACCTCTAAGGCTTATGCCTAAACTACAATATTCTTCTTGAAAGAAGTATATTCTTTTTCCATCATTAAGCTTCATAATCCACTTCTGTTCTTCTAAGCCTTCCTTTAGTAAGGTTTTAAATGGTATCCCATCACTTTAGTAAGGTTTTAAATGGTATCCCATCATTGTATTGGATATTCAGAACTCAATCCAGGTCTCCCACTATGGTGGCAGAAACCCAATTCCTCGAGAAGTCACCACTTCCTCCCCCAGGATCTACATTAGCATGAAGCTGGAATCAAAACCCAGAGGCACGCATTGAAGCCAAGTACTCTGACATGGGACACAGGCATCTTAACTGGTGAGTCAAACTCCCAC